GTCTTTCTACGCCCTAGATCAATTTTTTGAGTTTTCTGGGCCTTTTAGAGCCATCTTGGCCCGTTTAGGTGCTCTATTGGGCCCTTAGGTGCTGTATGTGCTACTTTTTCCATTTGTAGTGCGAGGCTTCTAGAGAACTCGTTAACTAAACGGCCCGTTCTGGGCCACGAATTGGGCGAAAGGCCCACAAAAAATGGTCTGTTACAGATTTTTTTAAAATATATAATTTATATTTTACATTTTACATTTTTGTGAAATAATTTATATCATAATACAAAATTATTTTTATTTATTGATAACATATTTTAAAATATTAAAATTTAACTCATAAATAATTTTGATAAATATAACCAAATTAGATAAGAAGTTAAAAAAATTCCTAAAAAATCTCTCAAAATCTTCTAAAAATACACTCATACAAAATAACTATTCGTATTTAACATATAGAAGTTAATTTATATGGGAAAAATATTTATTTTAACATTATAAAAAAATTAAAGAATCAATTAGTTAATTAAGTTTTTTCATAATATTATTCAATTATTTATAGTACAAATATTTTACTTAATTTTAAAGATTATTTTCATAAAATTAACATGTTTATTTATCTGGATATTTTTATAATTTTTTTGGAGTATTAAACTTTAAAATTTATTTTTTTAAAATAAATGTTTTAATTATAATAATTTAAAAAAATAATTATCTATATTAATTGAATGAAAAAAAAATGAATAGACTATAATTTAACTGACAATCTAATGAAACGCTTTCAAATCAATGTTTAAACTATAATGGTTTTTTTATTTCAAATAAAGAAAAAAAATTGAAACAGTAGTCAATCGTCATATTTTATATAAATTTATTATTACAATAATATTATTTTAAATAATAAAATTACATGAAATTATTATATGATAATAGTTTAAAATTATAATAAATAATATTTTTAATAAAAGGAACATTATATATAAACAATTTAACATTAGTGAGTAATTGACTCATATATCATATACGTTAGTTTTATAAAAAGGTCAATAAATGTACTAAACATTAATTTTGTAAATACAATAATTTATAAATTTTTTATAATCAAAATTTTCATTATAAATTAAAAATAATTTAAAACTATAAAAATACACTTAAACATATTAAACTAATAAACAGAATAAACTAATAAACACATAATTAATTTTTTTAATTATTATCATATAAATTGTGTCTTAAATCAAATATCCATGTATTACATGGGTAACTATATTAGTTTTATTATAATGATAAAGAAATGACTATTAATTTTTCTTTATATTATTTTTATTATAATTATTTTAAATTAAAGATAATTATTATTAATCTTTGCATGTAGTACAATCTTACAAATGTTAATAAATGATTGATAATTTAAATTTTGAGACACATCAATAAATATTATTGGTACGAAATGTAACATCCGAAATTTTAGAATACTTATTATTTTTTTTCATTTTTTATACTAAAAAATATAAAAGAAATCTCAAAATTATTATGCATACTATTGTGATCTAAATTTTGAGTTCCACTTAATATTAATTTTTAATAATTATTTTGTACCAAGACTTGAAAAATTATATAAAAAAAAAATGATGATTTTGCCGACTACTTTTTTGCATGATAAGGGCATACATGAGAAAAAAAAACTTTAGAAGACAATAAAATATTCTTTTGAGCTTATAGTCATGTTATATATATTAAAATGTCATTTTATGATTTTTTCCTAAATTTTTAGAAACTTTAAAAAAAATGATAAAAATTGTCCTTACTTGTCTACTAAGACTAACTAGTATTAGTTTAAAATGCCAATTTATTTTTAGATGATATATACAATAATATAATTTTCATAAAAATTTGAATATTATTGAGTTAAAATGAATTTAATATGATTTGTAACTCTAAAAAAATAAAATAATTAGTAGCAATTCACAAATTATTATAAAAATTAATTTTAAATCATGAAACTTAATTTTTATATCTAAATAACCATCTCACAAAGTTTTGATAAAGAGATTAAGAATAATAAAGGAAAAAGACCTTTTTACCCTTTAATTGCTTCTCACTCCTCTATCTTTCCATTATTATCTTGTTCTAATTAATTTGAATTAAAAACAAATTATGACATCACTTAAACCTATCTTATCTTAACTAAAAGCTTATGAATACCCAACTACTGTGTGATTCTTCACACACCAAGAGTACAAAAAACCCCTCTCCCCCTCTTCTTCAAAATTCTCCCTCTCTCATTTCTTTTTTCTCTTCTTCTAAAACCCCATACCATCCTCCTTCATTTTCCTCCTTCATTTTCTTCATCCATCAAACAACCTTCATCACCTTCTTCATTCATACAAGAGTCCCATACCTTCTATTTTCTTTTATTCATCACCTTCACTCACCCAAAGTATAGGGGGATTGAAGATTGATCTCTTAAAATTTTAATTTTACTTTATTATCATTTATATATATGTTATTGATCAAAATTGCTTATTGGCTCCATTTAAATCTGTTGTTCTGAATTTTGTTAAAATATTTTTGGATGTTATTTTGTTCTAAACTTTTTGAAAAATGCTCTAAATTAAGGAGAGACTCTACCAAAATTTTACCTGAATTTTTAAGATTTGTTTCATATTTTTCTAGAACCAATAACTTTTATTCAGAAATTCTTAAGCATGAATCAAAATTCCATAACTTTTGTTTCATTTATCCAAATGATCCGCATTTTTTAAATTTCAAATTTAAAAATAATTTCTTAAAATAAAAAAAAATTCTGAAATGAAACACACCCCCAAGATTTTCACAACCAGGAGAAAAAAAATAGAGTTGAAGAAATGAACAGAGACGGGCTCATGGCCCAAAACAAATGGCAGGATACAACGTTGGGCTAAGGGCCCGGTTATGCAAAAACCCTAGACCCATCTTGTCTTAATGGTATATATGAAGGTTGAGGATCAATATTCATCCGTTAAAAAGCCCTAATTGCAAGGTGAGAGAGAGTGGCGGTACCTTTGATCTCTAAGAAGATAGTGAAGAAGCGCGTGAAGAAGTTCAAGCGCCCCCAAAGTGACCGCAAAATCTCCGTCAAGGTTAGCTAGTTCTACCTTTCCACATTTCATTAATTTAGGGTTTTGATTTTGAACTGCGAGGTGAAGTTGTGTAGGTTTGATTTTTAGTTTTATCTTAGATTGAAATGGTGATTGTCATTGTCGCCCCAGTCTTGATTTTGCACCACGCGGTGTAAGATGCTGAATGACATTCTTATCTGATCCTCCTTTTTTTTGTTGTGTAATTATATTTTAGTTTTTTTTTTTTTGGTAAATTTTAAATACTAGATTAAAATTTTCTTTTGAAAAATAGTTTCACTCATGTTGGGGTGCCTCTTATCTCATGATAAATAATCATGCACATTCATATTTTTCCAAATATTCTTTTTCACTGTAGTTATTTATGAGGTGATATGAACCTAGAAGGATAAATTCATTTTAAGGATCTATCTAGGCCGGAATGCTCATAATTAAGAAATTAAAAGAAAAAAATATGGATTGAGGTAAAAAATGGAAGATCAGCGCCACAGTCCCTAAAGATTGATAAGTTGAGAAAGATTCGTCATTTTGAATTAAGAAATTCAAGGATAAGAATTAAAAGTAGTTCCTAAGAAGAGAAAATCCTCTCAATTGGACTTGTCGGTCTTCAACTTTTTTTCCCAGTTGAATCACATCAAGAGGTCATGTGGAGTTGTAGCCCTTTCATCTGATTATCTTTGTAGGGTTACGCTTATTAAATGCAAGAGTTAAATAATTTGAAATTTGTTGCTTCTGTTCTAACTTCACCATCTGATTATCTGTATTGGGTTACTTATGTAAAATTGGAAAAATTCAACATCTCAAGTACTCGTTGCTGTAAAAAAGAAAGCATTAATTGCAGCATTGCCACCATTAAAAAGATATTTTGTTTAAAATAAGAAGAAAAATACTTGATCGGGAGAATGAGAATTCTTCTATTTTTATTCTATTCTCACCTTTTCAATTAGAAATCAATACCATTTTTGCAAGCAGTTGTGAGTCTCCATCAATCGGATTCCTTTGTATTTAAAGAAAAACATATATAGGATGCTTAACCTTTTCACGTTGTAACCTATTTTTTAATTATTATTTTATAGACATCTTTATTTAATATTTCATTTTAAGTTTGTTTTGGAAAGTATTAATTTCTGTGACTTATTTAATAACATTGTTTTTCTACTTTACATATTTCATTAATAACCTTTTTGTGTAATTTTTCCATTTTTTTTCTATGGACTTGATCTACTCAACCAAAGACTAATTTGTATTTGTAGGACACTTGTCAAATATTATTTTAATATAATTTGGATCTCTAGTCAGGTCTTACAATTACCTAACTAAGAGGCTTTGTTTCTATTTCTTATTTAACACTAAACAAGAGTACAAACGTCATTAAAAATAATTTTGAGTGTTATTAATAAAATAGAAAAATATTCTACAGTTAATAATTTTTTTCATCCTCTTAGATTTTTATTTTCCACTTTTAAATCCTTCACTTTTATTGCAATTTTTTTAAATATCCACACTTGTAAGTCTAACTCTTTTCGAATGAAAGTTGGTCATATTTGGGATGCAAGTTTAAGTGAGAGTTTTAAATGTAAGGGGAAAAAACCAATTTTATGATATAAAAATACCATTAATTTAACATTTTAATATTATAAAAATAATTAATAAAAAATAGTTAATATTTAAATAACATTATTAATATTTAAAATTAATTATAAACATAATATTAGTAAAATATTACTGATATTATAATTATTCTTCTAATACTTTTTCTCAAGCTTAGCGGTGCAGTGCTATGAGATGATTATGTTTAAGGTTTATAGGACTTTGGCTTATGTGTTGAAAGTTAAGGTGTTTTGGGCAAAGGCTTTTGTCATTTATATATATATATATATCATGGTTGTTGAACACAATTAATGTTTCATTAATATGGACAATATTATGATCTTGTGCTTGCTCCAGAAATTACAATGGATTTCTATTTTTAGAAAACTGTCTTTCTAATGCGAAATAGCAGAGCATAATTTTTAAATCAAATCTTTCAAACCAATATAATAAGAAAATAGATTGGCCTACGACTTAACCAGAAAAAAAGTATTTCCACTGTGGGGAGCATTTAATATTTAAAAAGTATAATGATAGTAGGGCCTAATAATAAGACTATTATTTCCACTGTCGGGATCATTTAATATTTAAAAAATATAATGATAGTAGGACCTAATAATAGGACTATTATTTTCACTGTGGGGATCATTTAATATTTAAAAATTATAATGATTGTAGGACCTAATAAATAAGACTATCATTCATTGAGAAAACTCATTTTCTAATTCGTTTCATGCTAAGCTCTTATTTTTATTTCTTTCATACTAAACTAAACTTTTTTTCCTTTTCAAAATACAAAGTTTTAAGTTATCATGAAATCCACTTCTTTTTTTTTGTCTTATTTCTTCTTCTCGCTTTCAATGTCTGAAGATCAAATTTTGTAAGCACTGTCTTCATGAACATGAAGACGTCATGTCCAGAGTCTACCATACATGGCCTATGACCAAGTAACAACTTGACACACAACTAATGTTTTGTCCCTCGGCCAACTTTATTTCAACAACTGGAAGTTTTTATTTCTTAATAATTTTTTTGTATAATACTAAAAAGAATAATTTATGTGGCTTATTTTACCTTGATCCAAAGGTAAGTTTTTTATCTCTTAATTAATATTTTTAATATAATAACTCATCACTTTAATACCATTTATATATTATGAAAAAGTAGAGTCTGAAATAATTTCAACCTTATTATGACATCATTTTTTATTATAAATTGAGAAAGCTCATCATCTCATTCATTTCATGCAAAGAACTTACACGTTTCTTTTATACTAAACTTCAATTATTTTTTCTTTCTACAGTACTAAGTTTAAAGTTATTATGAAATTTACTTGTTTAATTTTGTTTTTTTCATTCTCGCTTTTATTGTTGAAAGATTGGATTTTCGAAGCACCATTCTCTCATGAATGACCATGAAGATGTCATGTGCTGTCCATATATCATCCAAGTTTACCATACATGGCCTATTATCAAATATCAACTCTAACTCACAATCAATGTTTTGTCTCTCGACCAAATTTGATTCAAAAAGGTAAGTTTTTATTTCTTGATCAATAGTTTTTTTTATATAATATCAAAAATAATTTATGTTATTTATTTACTTTGATTTAAATTGAGAAAACTCGTCTTCTCATTCATATCATTTTAAGCTCTTATTTTCATTTCTTTCATACAAAATTTTAATTTCTTTCTCCTTACCTAGAAATATTAAAGTTATCATGAAATTCACTTTTCTTTTTATCCTTATTTTTTCCTTGTTTCCATTGTTAGAAACTTTGAATTTTGGAAGCACCATCTTTCTACATAAACATGATGACATGTCCTATGTTGTTTAGATTTCATCAAAGTTCATCGTACATGGCATGGCCAAGTAACAATTTTGACTCAACCAATGGTTTGCCCATCAATCAAATTGTTACTTATGTCGCTTTACTTCATTTTGCAACCCCGTTCTTCTCAACCCGAAAGTCGAATTGTTTCTTTCTTCTTTTGTTTGTGTCGAAATGGCATGGAGGTGATGGGAATAGTAAAAGGTTTGAGCAGGATAAATGTGCATTGGGCTAGGCGGTGACAGTGTTTGAAGTTTAGGGCAAATCGAAGAAGGCCCCTGTCCCTTGCCGAGTAATTGCTCTGTGACACTCGCAACTTCTTCCACATCAACATTAGGGTTGCATGAAAAGGCGTGGGTTGCATTCTAGTATGGAATCACAACCTAGACTGCGCCCCACATTTTGGTCCCTTCATTTGCTTCAATCACTGTCCACCTCCAATGCACTTCCTGTGTTGATTACTACCTTCTTTCTGATCCATGCCCCTAAGCATTTCCCATTTATTTCATCACCGTATAATGTTAATGTGTTAGGTTTTACTTTGTCATCATTTCGAGTCTATACTTGATTTTAAGTTCGAAAAACTTACTTTGCATTGCATCATTTCTTATTATTAATTTGCTTTTAGAATTAAAACATCTAAATAATGCAAAATAAATTTAGAGGCAATGAAAAAAAAATTGTTGGCATTAGTGGTGGGTATTAGGGAAATAAAATACTCCATTATTTATTTTAATTTGTTTGCATAAAATAATCCTATGCAGCTATGGTATCGTATTAATTCTCTTGAAATTGTGCTTTTGTCATCAAATGTGTTGGATGACAAGTTTTCCTTCCTTGTGTCAGGTGTCATTTTCAACCAGTTTTCCTAGATTGAATTGAACAATTCTTTTGTTCTATAAATAGATGACATAACCTGATTGTAGTGGTATAGCATCCGAATCAAAGTAAATTAAGAGTATATCCTCCACTTTTTTTATTGCTATAGTTATTTTAGTTCTTAAGTTGTCATAATTTTGTTTTGGTGTTGATATTCAACTCATTAGAGGTAATGTTATATTGATTTGACTAATGGAGACTTGGGGTTGCATGAGTTGATTCGAGGGTTTGGACTTTAGATGTCACATTTGCATCATCATATCAGTCTTCCACTAAAATATTGTTAATGGTCAAAAACATGTTTGTGTGAGATTGGAGTTACTGTGGACATGGAATGTGTAATGGGGTGTGAGACCTTGGTTCATTGCATTCTGTGATTGTTATGCTTGTCTTTAGCTAGGACTATGATGCATTTTGTATGACATTTTTAGACATCTGCTCTTGGTCAATGTTTGCCAGAATGCTCTACGCATCCTACATCCTACATTAATGCAGATTAACCATAGTGGTATTTGCATGTGATGAAGGATGCATTTCAAAAACTATAGTGGCGTTTCTAACCATTCTATATACACCAAATTGTTTGAGATTTTTGTAGAAGATTGTTGTGATGGCAATTTACATTTGTTGCTACATTACTTCCTCTTGTAACATACAGGTGATAATAATAAGAAATGGCTGGTAACACTTGTTTAAACACTGTTATTGGTTAAAATTTTTGGGGACTTTTGAAATAATGTATGTCACTTTCTATTTAACAAGTCTATATAATTCTTTTATGAAAAATTGACTACACCTATTACAAATTGTGATTTTTGGTACTCTTAACATGTTTAGTTTCATGCTCGGATGCTCCAAAATGAACTTTCGCTCATTCCAATGTTCCTAATGACAAAACAACAATACCCATGAATTGAAAAAAAATGTGGATCACGTTGGATTCAACGCTTTTTCAAACACACTAAGGTTTGTCATCTGTATGTCTCAAAATGTTGGGAGCCCCATCTTAGAAAGATTATGCAAAAGGTTGCCAGATAAGTCGTCAGATTTTATACTCTTTATGCAACTATGTATGACAGACAATAGGGACAAAAAGTTGCTACTAGACATTTGGCTTGAGTTACAAAAGTTGATGCTAGATAGGATTTCTATCATGGTTTGGAGCTTTCTGTCACATAAAAATTAATGTCAATAATTAAATTACTGTTTATAAGATGGATTTTTTTGTTGATAACAAAGTTTTATTATAAGAATTGATTTTAACTTGTTAAAGGATTTGTCATTGTCAAAATTCTTGATCTGGTTTATAAGTTCATGGCACTGTCGATGAGAGGTGATGCGAAGTTAATAAGATTATCTCATCCCATGTCTAAGAATTGATTTTAGTAAAAAAGCCTTCAAACCCTTTAGTCTAATCAATATGTAGGCTAATAGGTTCAAAACATAGTAGTCAATAGCGGGTGGAGCGGCCGCTATCGCGCCGCTATAGCGGCCTGATCCTGCAACCTCGCTATTGTCGCGTGGCAGATTTGTGTCGCAGTCGGTGGCGGAGCGGGGCGGCAAAAATCGCGGAAATAGCGGCGCGATTTTGATATATCCTTCATTAAGGGTAAGTCCGTCTTTTCAAATGGGCTTTTTTTGCCTTAATGCTCCCTTCTCCCTCTCGCGGTTTCAGTTCTCGCACTCCTCTGCTCTCTCTCTCTCAGATTTTGTTTCTTTCTTTTCTATGATCGTGCGCACAGCCCTCTATTTTGAACTCCAGCTCCGACGAACTCCAGCTCCGACGCGCCTCCAGTTCCGACGCGCCTCCAGCTCCGACGCGCCTCTGTCCGCTTAGTTTGTCTTCTGTTCTCCTTCGACTCTTCTCTCTTTTATGCAACATTGCAACATAATTTTATTTTTAATTTTTTATTAAATTATTTCAGCTAATTTTATTTTTAATTTTTTATTAAATTTAATTCAACAGATTTTATTTTTAATTTATAATTAAATTTAATTCAGCAAATTTTATATTTAATTTTTGATTAAATTTAATTGAGCTGATTTTATTTTTAATTTCTGATTAAATTTAATTCAGAAAATTTTATTTTTAATTTCTGATTAAATTTAATTTAGCAAATTTTATTTTTAATTTCTGATTAAATTTAATTCAGCTGATTTTATTTTTAATTTCTGATTAAATTTAATTCAGAAAATTTTATTTTTAATTTCTGATTAAATGTAATTCAGCTGATTTTATTTTTAATTTTTGATTAAATTTAATTCAGCAAATTTTATTTTTAATTTTTGATTAAATTTAATTTAGCTGATTTTATTTTTAATTTCCATGCATGACTTAGAATCATGTGTCATAGCTCCACAGCTATAACAAGAAAATGAAGTTTGAAGCAGTCAGTAAGCATTTGTAAGATAAAATGAGAGTATAAATAAATTCGGAGACAAGAGCAATTATCAAACTTCAGAGATTAGATAAAGTAGTAACTAATTAGGCCTCAGTAAATTTGAATCATAAACTCCAGCTATTGCCCTAAACATTTTATATTATGTATTGTTTGAGTACTATGAATTTTTAATTATTAAAAATGTTTAATGCATGAATTTAGAGTTATTTTTTGTTTTTTTTAGCTTTTATATATATATATATTATTAATTATTTAATATATATAAATTAATATTAAAATAGCCCAGTTTTAGGGTCGACCGCTCCGCTCCGCTATCCGGGATTGACTACTATGGTTCAAAAGAATAGTTTCAAATCCTTATTGGACGAAGATTTTGTGTAATCGATTTATCATGATTTTATGTATTTTTTTTCATGTTTCCCTAAATTTTGGCCTAGTATTATGGAAATGAGAAAGAAATCGAAGTTTGTACGAAGGGAACCAAAATAAGAACTTAAGAAGAAGTGATGATTTTTTTTTAATATACTATTTTATTTATTTATTTAAATAACCTGGCCCAAGATTATTTATGTAAATAATTCATTTTTAAGGCTTAGGTGAGAAATTAGTTACTAGGTAATCGATTTCTCAAAGTGTTTATTTAAAAAATTTAAAAGAATTCTTTGAAAAATCGGGTACTCAATAATAGATTTCTATATTGGATTTTTTTTTTGTTTTCAGATTTTTGAGTTTTTTTTTTCGTTTTTCAATTTTTAATTTTCAATTTTTAAAAAAATTATAGTATTTTTTAAAAAAATTATTTATTTAAGTTTTTAGAATAAGATTAAATAATTAAATAAATATTAAATAAAATTTTTAAAAAAAGGCAATATTTTTATATAAAATAATAGAAAATAAAGTACAACATTTGGAATTACAAAACATTTTAAGCTTGTTGACTTGAATTCCTTTAACGGTAAAAACATTTCTTCTTAGAGTGACTTATATTCCTGCATAGAGAACATCTTTTTGGTTGTCCTTGTTCAACCATATCCATTTCAATGCGTATTCTGGATGACTTTGGACGACCTTTTTTATTTCTAATCTTTTCCAGATTTGGTATGATTTGCGGTTCTTCACAATCTGGCCAATAAGATTCATTGGGCAATTCACCAAATAATTCGTTATACACATTTAAAACATACTCTAATGTGTATACCTGATCTATGTAAGGTTTGTAACATGTTTACATGCAGCAACAACATGGGAGTATGACATGTGTAGCTTCTGGAATTTTCCAGAGTCACATCACTTGTCATGTAGTCTAACCGTGAAATTTCCAGTAGGTCGTGTTTCTCTTGGGTTAATGGTCTCTTGCACCAGATAACGCGTACTGTGACGATCAAATTTGAGGATATGATGATTATTAGCCTTTGATTCTGCATCTCTCATGGCCCTATTGATTATTTCAGTATAAACTTGGTTAGTCCTAAGTTTAGCATCGACTTCCTTTCCCCTTTGGATGAATAAAGCATTACATTTCTTATAAGTCGACATAATCATTACAAAAATTGGCAAATTTCTTGTTTTTTTAAGAATGGAGTTAATTGCCTTAGCCAAGTTGGTAGTCATGTGTCCCCATTATCGGTACCGTCCCATGCAAGATTCTATTGTTCTTTTGGTATGTTGTTGAGCCATTCAATTACACCTTCAGTTTCTGGTTCGCTCCTTAGTGCAAGTTATTGGGTATTATAATGCTGATTGTGTATGATGCCTAATTGATAAACGCTTTACTAATGGATATTATATATCTAGATAAAAGTGTTTTATAGGAAAAAATCGATTAATTGCTGTAGAATATAAGATATAGTGAGAATTCACTCTTCAATTTGTCTTTAATCCAATCTTTCATGAAAGGATTGGACAAATAAAAATTGACAGGCTATGTTAAAAAAAAATTATTATTTTATCTATCAACTTAATGATGAACTTTAAAGATCTTGACAAAATCTCTAACATCCTTGAATTCAAAACATTTGTCCCAAACTTGAGCATTCAATCTATATACTACAATTTCAGATTTGTTGAAAACTGCATCTGGGAAATTAATGCCTAGATAGTTTAATAGCCATATTCATGTATAGTGACTTATTATTGTCCTGGGTTACATTTCCTTCATTGCTCTTAAATGTAATTCAACATGAAACTATTATTATAAATAGTCATGCTGCTAATTACTTTTTCACTCGAGCATTTAACTAAAATTTAGTTTTCAACTCCTATAATTAAAATGAATAATGAAAAGAAATATTAAATCACGAAGGTCTTCTTTTCTGATAGCGACCAAGTTCTACAGTCGTGTGTAAACTACACAAAATGCAAAACTTTGAACTTCCTAAGCAAAATTACTAGCAATAACAAAGTTTGAACTAATTTTCCCTTCATCCTAGGATAATAAAATATAACAAAAATCTGAGCACAACTACTCCATATGATTAGATAGCATAATTTTTAGGAATTAGTAAATTTTCCTCACTTCTTGTTTTTCTTTCTTCCATTCACTTGTTTCTCTAAACTTCTAAGCCTTTGACTAATAACAGCAGAAGAAGATAACTTTTTATTTGAATGTTTTGATGGTTCATCTGGCATTGAGCTTGGCCCACTTGTCGCTGTTGTAGCTTGTTTAGAGTTGGAAATATAGAAAAGGGAGATTGAGGAGGATTGGTGGGTGCTGCAACAGGAATTTCAGGAATACCCGATGTTTTCTTTACACCAGGAACTTTAAGTACTGTAAAATTAGAAATTAGAAAAAGGGGATTAGAAAAAAAATTCAAGAAAATATAAGAAAGGTTCACTTGTGTTTGCACTATACAGTTGAGAGTGAAAAAGATCCTTTTAGTGCAAAAAATAAAAATGATGAGAAACTTAGACGATACACGAAACACAGCCTCAAACTTGAGTCTTACTGACCTACTACAATGATTTCCTTCGTTAAGAGAATTTCAAGTCCATACATCAAGTTTCTGCCTATTAAAGTGATGACAATTGGTAATGAGCAAGTAAAATTTCAAGAGCCTTACCAAGTCCATACATACGTGAGAACAAATTTGATGTAACCCAGTAACAGAAAATTGCCTGCACAAATATAAAGGAACACAAGTTCAAATTATATAGGATGGACAAATGAAAGCGAACATGAAGCTGTAAAGAGAAAATAGGCAAACACTCCTTTTCTTTCAAAATTAGCTAAGCATCATTAGATATTACAAACAAAACACAGCATATAAAGCGAATACATCTGGATGGAAAATGGATAATCAATAACCTATCTATATATATTTATAGCATATATAAAAAGCATGGATTGCAGAAACCTTTGCTTTGCCAAAGATACCTTTCAAATAGAGAAAATGGAACAAGTTTGTAAGTTTCCAGATGGGGATAGAATATTACTGTTTAGTCAATACAGAATATTCCGGTTTCCTTACATATTTCAAACAGTAAACTACTACATTATCTTTTCAGCTGAAAAAAAATAATTAAATGGGAGAGAACAGAAGTACAAAGGAGGGAAAAGAAAGTCCTCTGGAGTTTGAAAGATGAATAAATAAACAGCAGATAAAGCCACAAAGACACCATTTCAAAGGTGCTCACATCTCTCATGAGATCCATGAAAGAGAACCACCCTAAAAAACCATGGATTGGCACTCACATAGAAGCCAAGAAACAAGTTCTGTAGTCCCAAACTAGATGGAAAGATAGAGGTTTCTATTTGATAATTATGGGGTTATGCTCAATTCACAAGCACAATTCCCACAAATAAACTATTGGGATCTTTTCTATAGGAGAAAATTGAGGTGACGTTTTTGCAATAGCAATCAAATTATTTCCTGTACTTCTCAAAAGACATTTGTAATAACAATAAAACCTTAAAATCTCCCATGCAACACATGTCAAAAGACTCAAAACCATAGTCAGAATCTCATAATTCAATGTGATTCAACAAGTCAGCAATTCAGATCATGACATTAATGGGATGTGGCTTTAAGTCATGTAATGCATGGATGAATCAGTAAGCAATATGCTATTTTTACCTTTTCTTTTCTTTTGTTTCACTAATTTTCCTAAAAAAAAAATTGAAAAGTAAAATGTTTTAACTGTTTACAAAAAGGAAATGAAGGAGCAACCAAATGCACCCTATCTGGTTATTTCAGTGCTCTGTTTTCATTCTTCTGAAACAGTTTCGCACAGATCTCTTTCATTCTGTGTAGCTGTTCCTTTGTTCTGTTGTCTTTCTTCTAAAATAAAGGCTTCAATACAGAGTTATGACCTGTGATTTTCGTTAATGAGACTTGTAGTTAAGTTGTTTTGTCAATTTGTAGTTTAAAATCATTACATTGAGCACTATAAATCATTATATAATTTAAGATAATTTTTATAGCATCTCTGGATTTGATATAAATTATATAATATTCAAGATTCAAAATTAGCTTGATGGAACACAATTTGATAACCTTGGTCAAAACTAGTATATAAAAATGATGTTAAAACAATGTGTTAGATGACCTAATAAGATCACTAAGGCGTATATTACGAAAAGTGGGAGCACTAGGGGATCAGAGTTACATGTGGCAAAGTGGGAAGTGTGACCTCATGTGACAACCTGTTACACTCTGGCTATAGGGCTGAGGAAATGCGAGAACCTAGGAATTGGCTATAAGAAAGAGGAAAATCAGGTCTCTCAAACACTGGAAATCTGGAACTATCCTTGTATTTTCTTTTCTTTTTTTCACCCTATTCTTGTAAATCTCTCCGGCTTCGTTCACAGAGCCTGCTGAGTTCAGATACCACCTTGATATCAGGTCGGTAGTGGTGAATACATACATTATCTTCAGCTCTGCTTCACATCCTTGATAGAAGATCTTTATTCGGAGATACACAAGAATTAGGAAAGTGATAAAGGGAATTGACGGAAGGGACCCAGGCCTCTCAACCACTGGGACTATCCTGGTATTTTCTTTTCTCATATTGCAATTTTCTTCTGTTTCATTTGCTTACCTTGCCAAATTCTGACATCAGCATGATATCAGGTTGAAGATGTCAATACATACATTATTTTCAGTGCTGTTATACATTGCCAACCAAGTTTCTATTAGTCATATAAACCACACAATTCCTACAATGCATGCTATCTAAAGCCAAAGCAGATTTTGATATTCAAAGTATTTTAAGATATCAAAAGATTATTAGGTACCTTTTGGTAACTTAACTTTCGATTTTATGGATTGAGTTACACTAGCTAAGTTACTGGTCAATAAGCAAACTGTATGATTTTGGAACTCGGTTTAAAATACATACACGTCAAAATGATTGCTACCCATTGTAGCTTTTGCGTCCGACCCATTTTAACATGGTGTTGGAACATGATTCCTCACACGTAGATAGTATGCAACAAATTTTACTGAAATATAAGGCAGAACCTGTTTCTTTCCAATTTCATACAACAATTATTTCAAATGCAGGAACAAATGTAAGCAAAGGGTTGTTACTTCCCAAAAAAAACTAAGCTAGGAAAATTTACCTTTGGAAATCCCATGGTGAAAGGAACTGTAAGAACAGCAAGTCCCCTAGAGACATTTTTAACGGTACCAGCCACAGGATTTCCTTCCATCCCTTCTTGCATATTACACTGAGGATCAATAAGAAATCAATTAAACAAAATTGGACTAAAACATAACATCATCAATCTTGCCAACAAAATTTAAAACTTTTCATTTCTTTTTAAGTGACTAATTATGTAGTGGATACTGGATACAAATAAAATTCAAAACAGAAGACCAAAAAATATTCAGTAAAGAGTAAAGAAGAAAGTCAATCTAAGAAGAGAATTGTAAAGAAAGTTAAAAGTTTCTGAAAAGTAAATGCGTAAATGCTCACCTCCACTGTTATTAAGAATGACAATGCAGTCAAAACTGGAAAAATGTATAAGGCATCTGGAGTTGCAAGATCAATAAACCAAGAAGCTCCGCAATGCTTGAATGATGGCACTTTTTCAGCCATATTGGTTATCTATTTTTAAACACAGAAATGAGAATGGATAGAAACAATATAAAGGCTCGTAACACTCTTAAAAATAGGCAAAATATCAAGTTGAAACTCAGCTTACAGCAAGAAAAAAACTCACAAAAATAGGACCTTGAATAAAGAGTCCCTTCAATGGTGTGAAAGGACTCACACCATATCTACATTCATCAAAACAAAAGGAAGAAAATATTAAGTGAAACAAAACATCCGTAATGTTTGATTTAATATTTGAAACACTGTTTCCTAAAAGCCATGAACCAGTTACGTATTAGTTCTTAAACATAAACAACAATTACTCTTCAAATATATATTCAATGATCACACCTCTAAGCTAAAAGAAATGTTTAAATATCTGACAAAGCATGTCTTCAGATGCAACATTTTCCATCTAATGGAAGTGTAGCCATGTTAACAGTTCATAAAAATTAATACGATGGTCCAAGATACATACCGTACACTGTTACTATTCTATTAAATTGGAAGAAAGATGACAAGACCATGTGAACCAAAATAAAAGGCCACAGAGAAATGATCCAGAAACATATGATAGAAATAGAATAATAATAGTAGTAAAATAATGTACAACCAGAATTCTCAGTCCCGATATCAAAGAATGATTCTCAATAAGTGGTGGTGGTGGTGGTGATGATGAATCATGAGCAATAAAGTCTACCATTCCAAGATATATACATGTCCAAAGAATCTTCCAATCACATTCTGTCAGTTCAGCACTGCTAGAGCAGACCCCATATCTATATCACTCCCATCACAAAGCACTCACAAAACTCCCTAAAACAAAAATAAAAATAATAATGCTAGATCACTACTTACGTACATTAATACACCACTTTATTAGAGATTAGAGGAAATGATAAGAGAGATGAGCAAAGAAGCAAACAGAGTGAGTTACAACTAATCAGAAATTTTGGACCCTTTTGCTTGAAGCTGAGACTAAAACATGACAGCTCCAAATACTTGTGTTTGAAAGAACTAAAGGTGCAGAAAGACCACCACAGAATATGCCATTGACAATATTGTTTGCAGCTGCAGCCTTTTCACCAGGTTTTGAAGCATAGTAATTCCTTGATCTAGTCCATCTCCTGGAAAATGGATCATAACCTGCCTCCCCTTCTTTCAAACCTGTATTCACCGGCTTCAATTCAGAAGCATTCTTGAAGTTCTCAAACCTGTTTTTCCTATTCATCTCAGCCAGCTTCAATGCCTTGGCATCCTTCTGCTTTGCTTGTCTGCATGCGTCTAATTCTAGCAGTCTTGTCTTGAGCCTCTCCATTTCTGCATCATCATGCTTACTTTATGCTATTTCCAATTCCCTCCTCAGCCAATCCTTCTCAGTAGCAAGTTTAGTGGTCTTATTGAGGCAGACTTTTTCGCTTGTAACATGTGCTTCTCAGTAGCTGCTGAGTAGACAAATGTGATGGCTTTTTGACTTTTTAATATATACAGGAAAACTAGCTGCTTATAAAAAGAAATGGGATTGTTAGATTTGCGATTTGACTTTTCTCATGCTCGTTGCTTTGAGCAATTTCCTTTAAACTAGTCCAAGATTTTCTTCATCTTTTGCTAGATGCATTCGCAGAATTTTCTACTTCTTTTGCAGACATGTTTGTAGTTTTAATAGCGTTCTTGGACAAGGAACTATCTCTCCTTCTCTTCTTTCCTTTTAACAAAGTTGTTGTATTTGTACTTGATGGAGTAGCTAGATAGTCCATAAGAGTGAGATCCTTACAGTTCATCTCATTCACTTCATCTTTACTTACAGTTCCTTTCTCTAATTTAATCTTACAAGATTCACTTGTAATGTATTTTGATGAAGGTGTTGACTCTAACAACGATTTATCTTTTGATGGACAAATTCCTTTTACGTGTCCCTTAGGGGTCCCTGACTCTTCTGATTCTGATGCAAACAAAAATGGCACTTGTACACTACGTTGTTTTGAGTGATGTTATCAGTCTTCTTGTGCTTGTGCCTGACCTTCGATTTATTCTTCTCAATTCGTACAGTTGAATTAAAGTCAGGTTGAAGAACAGTTTCACATCTGTTCAGCAGTCAATGATGATCAGGGTTGATATTCAAGCAAACCCAAATAAATGCAACTCAAAAAAATTGGAGCTATCTCACGTTTGATTCTAACAAATTACATTAATTCTTCAACAATATACCATATGGATATGGTAAATAAGCACAACACCTATAAACTAAACCATATTGAAACCTCTGAAGAAAAGAATGGCGTACAGAAGTTTCAGAAATTGGATTGTTAATTTGAAACTTGAAGCATACCACAAATACTATAGAACAGTGTTACTACTCTTTAAATAAAATTGGTCATATAAAATATAACAGTGGTCAACAAAGCAGCAATTTTAACTACAAAGATGACATATAGCCCTGAGCTAAGTTTGATAGGAGTATAATTCCAATAATACATATGATATACAGATCATATTGCTCTACATACAAGCCGGTTCAAGCCATCAAATTAAATTATTAAAGGGGCAACTTCTGAAGCGAAACATAACAAAGCATTGAAGCACAAGGGTACATAACTAAGCATAGAGAAAAGCAAATGTAAGGAAAAGTGAAATAGGAAAAGAAGAAGATAAAAAAACCTTTGGCAAGTCATTAGAGAAGGATCAGGTGGTACTCCGGTGGCCTCTCCAGAGGTGGCGTATTGGTGCCCATAGAATGCAGCCAAAGAGGGTATGAGAGGGTCATTGGTGGTGGCCCACAGTGCTAGGCTTTTCAAGTGCTCAAATCTCAATTTGGACTTGGTGTTAGAGGCTGCCTTGGTTTGTATTCTTCCAGTGGCTTCTTGCCTCAATGATATTGCAGTGTGAGACACTGACCCCAATTTTTGGGTCCCTCCTTTCTTGCCCATGAGGTTCCTTTGTGGGAAATTTCGTCAAACACCTGTTATGCACACAATGTGTTGAGAAGTTATATTATAATTTAAATTTTAAATTAAATATTTAATCTAACTAATCTTTATTTTTTTAATACTATAACGTTCCAAAACCAAAACAGTGTTTGATTTTTCACCTGTGACCAAGTCTCATGCTTTTTCATATTAGTTAGCACAATTACATTCACTTGTTTACTGTTAGTGGAATGTTTGCAAAGTAAATGAAAGATAAAACTGATGTATGTACTCTTGATTTGAAAAAAAAGTATTTAATATTGTGCCTATATATACATTAGTACGTGAGAAAAATAAATAGAAAAATATATAACAAATTTATTTATCTCTCTCAAAATTATTTTTATTACTAAAATATATTTTTTTGGAGTGGTGTTCTTTGGTTCGGGGATTTTTCGCTGCACTTAAATAATTTAACGAGTTAACATATCTTAGGAGAGGAGTGCACTATAAGACTCAAAATTATTAGTGCAATGGGGTGTTTTTTCTCTAAGGATAGCACTCTGCGTGCTTCAACCCAAACTACTCTAAACTTATTATTTAATATTTTAATTTACTCTTTGTGTTTAATTAGTTGTTACCGATTGTTTTGTTTTAAATTTTATAGTATTCATTGTGTTGTTGATATTGGTGTTATTGATAAATCTAAATATTTATTTTTCTTGTGCTCTATTAAATTTATTTTTCTAACAATCTTAGAGAAAAAAAAATCTTCTTTTCTTGTCAAAATCAACATATCTGTAATGGATATTTTAAAGTCCTTAAGTAGTAAGCTAGAAAAATTTAATGGAGAAAATTTTTTATGTTGGCAACAACAGATAAAATTTTTGCTTACAATGTTGAGTTTATTTTCTGTTATTTTAAATGGAAAATCTGAAAAATGTTTTGAGTGTGCCTTGGTTGAAGCTAATTCTTTTGATGATACTTCTAGTGATAAAGATATTTTTTGTTATGGTCGTATTTTGAGTGCTCTATCTGATAATATTTATAAAATATTTTTTCATACAAAAACTACTTTGGAGTTATGGGACGCTCTTGGACTAAAATATGGTTCTGCTGAAAAGGGGTTAAGGAGATACTCTTGTGAAAGAATGATTTATTTTCAAATGGAAAATGGAAAACCTTTCTCTGACCAAGTTCATGAATTTGAAAATATTATTTATGATAGGAAGATGAAAGAAATTACTTTGCCTGACATAATGCTTGTTAGTTTATTAATTTCTAAATTACCTCCTTCTTGGTTTGAATTTGCAAGAAGCCTTAAGCATAAACCTGATCATTTCACTTTATCTGATTTGTTGGTTACCTTGCAAATTGAAGATAAGCATCGTATTTCACAAAAGGATTCTCATAAACCCCTTTTTCAGGCTAAGGTTTATTTAGTGGAAAACGCTAATAAGCCTAAACAAAATTTTTTTAAAAAATCTGGTTTTTCCAATAATAATAAGTTTGGTCGAAACTCCCATTTCTCCAAAAATAAAAACAAGACTCTTAATAACAACTACAAACCAAAGAGTAAAATTCAAGGAAATGAATCCTTCTGCTTTGTTTGTGGAAGAAACAATCACTTTGCTAAGGATTGTTTTCATCGTCGTCGTCAACCAAAAGACATTACATCTGATCCCAAATCATCGTCTTAGCCTCAAGCTAATGTTATTACCGTTAGTGCTAGCTCGGATTCCCCATCTAACAGGTATCATGTCACTAGCCCAAAGTTAAACTTTATTTATAACTCAAATGATTGGTGGATTGACTCTAGAGCTAATGTTCATGTGTGTGCTGATAAAAAATTATTTTCTTCATATCAGGAATGTGGCACACTTATTGAAAGCATGGGGAATGGGAGCCTAGCACGCGTCATTGGTCT